AGTGTTCCTTCCTCTTGGATTTTTTGTAGTAGTCTGAGGAGGATAGGTTTTAGTTCTTCCTTGAATGTTTGGTAAAACTCCCCTGTGAAGCCGTCTGGTCCTGGGCTTTTGTTTGCTGGAAGCTTTCTGATGACTGCTTCAATTTCTTCCATAGTTATTGGCCTGTTGAGATTTTTAGATTCTTCCTGATTAAGTTTTGGAATGTTGTATTTTTCTAGAAATATGTCCATTTCCTCCAGGTTGTCTAGTTTGTTGGAGTAGAGTTGTTCATAGTATTTTTTAACAATCATTTGTATTTCTGTGGGGTCTGTTGTTATTTCGCCTCTATCATTTCTGATTTGGTTTATTTGGGTCCTCTCTCTTTGCTTTTTGGTGAGCCTGGCTAGAGGTTTGTCGATCTTGTTTATCCTTTCAAAGAACCAGCTCTTGGTTTCATTGATTTTCTGTATTGTTTTTTTGGTCTCTATGTCATTTATTTCTGCTCTAATCTTTATTATCTCCTTCCTTCTGCTCACTCTGGGCTTTTCTTGTTGCTCTCTTTCTAATTCTTTGAGCTGTAGATTTAGATGATTTACTACCATTTTTTCTTGTTTGTTGAGGTAGGCCTGTAGAGCTATAAACTTCCCTCTCAGGACTGCTTTCATTGTGTCCCATAGGTTTTGGATTGTTGTGTTTTCATTGTCATTAGTTTCCAGGATGTTTTTAATTTCTTCTTTGATGTCATTGGTAACCCAATCAATATTTAATAACATGCTATTCAGCTTCCAAGTGTTTGAGTATTTTGGGTTGTTTTTATTGTAGTTTATTTCTAATATTATGCCCTTGTGGTCTGAGAAGATGCTTGGTATGATTTCAATCTTCTTGAATTTGGGGAGACTTTGTTTGTGACCCAATATGTGGTCTATTTTTGAAGATGTCCCATGAGCACTTGAGAAGAACGTATATTTTGTTGCTTTGGGGTGAAGTGTTCTGAAGATGTCAATTAAGTCCATCTGATCTAGTGAGTCATTTAGGATTGCTGTTTCTTTGCTGATTTTTTGTCTAGCAGATTTATCCAGTGATGTCAGTGGTGTATTAAAGTCCCCTACTATGATTGTATTGTTATCGATCTCTCCCCTGATGTCTTCCAGGAGTTTTCTTATGTATGTGTGTATTTGGCTTTTTAAAGTGAAGATTAAGTATTCCCAAAAAGGAAAGGATTTTCTAAAACGCTGAACAACTCTTAATAAAATTCCAAAGAAAACAAAGCACAATCTTCCAAACATGTATTTGCGACAATGCGGCCCTGGAAGCTAAGACCACTTCTGTGTGTACCCGGGGTTGCTGCGAGGCAGAGAGCAAGCCCGCCCTGCAGGACAGGGTTCCACCCATCGCCATCTGACCACCGGGCTCTGCAGGGTCGTCCCGCCAGCCAGGACTTGCAGCGTCTCTAGGACAAACTAGACCGCCCACGCGTGTCCAAAGCCCGTGGTGAGGACCTCTGCCTCGGCACCGGCCGCTCCTCCGTCGCAGGCCTCCAGCGGACCCGGCACGTTCCCAGGATTGCAGGGGACAGCGCCTGGGCAGCTCCACCCGCCGGCCGGGAAGTGCCCATGTACTCAGTTGTCCCGCCCGGGGTCCGCCTTGTGACTTCCTGGTAGTAAATCCTCTTTAAGGATTATTACTCCCAGTGAGGAGAGCCGTTCTTCCACGAAGCCACAAGGGGGCGCCTGAGACCCAGAATCGGAACATCCGCAGGTTTGTGAGAGGTTAAAATGAAATGTCTGCAGCTGCAAGCTAAAAAGGAGGGAAGAAAAACATCATTGGACCTGCGTTGTGCTAAACGGTCTAATCTTTGGCGGCGCCGTTCAGTTTTCCAATATCCACTGTTAGTACTGAAAATTTTTGTAAATGGCATTTCCAATCCTCCCAAATAATATGATTTTGATATCATACCAGCAACTTTAACGTTCTCCCAGAGACACCAATGGAAACAGGCAAAAAAATGCGATGGCCAAGCAATTGGCCAGTCCTTGCCACCCCCAACACCCACCACACTTCTCTAGAAATAATAACAGTCATAACTTTTTCTTGAGAACATACCATGTGTGACTGTTTTGGGTTCTTTACAAGCCACACATATTTTCTCTTCCATCAGTCATACTGCAAGGTGGAATCTTGCTCCTTCCTTTCCTCAAACCTACTCCTGCCTTTGTATTAATGGCCTCACTGTCCTCACTCTCCTCCCTGCCACCCAGGTGAGAAACTTAGGACTCACTTCAGGCTTCTCCTGGTCCCCCATCTTCCAACCCCACCCACCTGATCCCTGACCCGCCTCAGCAAACCCTTTATTTGACTCAGACCTGCTGCAGCGGTTCTCAACCTGTGGGTCTCGACCCCTTTGGCGGTCGAACGACCCTTTCACAGGGGTCACCTAAGACCATCCTGCATATCAGATATTTACATTATGATTCATAACAGTAGCAACATTAGAGTTATGAAGTAGCAACGAAAATAATTTTATGGTTGGGTCACAACATGAGGAACTGTATTTAAAGGGCCAGAAGGTTGAGAACCACTGTGCTAGAATGTCCTCAGAGACACTGTGCCATCAGCGGTACATGAAGAGCCCCTATGCCCACATCCTGGCCCACAATGGACCTGACCCAGCTTTATAATTTTTGTAGGATTAATGGATGCAAAGTGATGCCTGCATAGTTTAAGTTCACATCCAGTAATTTACATTTAGGTCTTTTAAGCCATCTGTGTATGCGCTGCTCAGATGCTGAAACCTTTATTTCCTTAGCGTCCCTGGCCCTCGTGTTCTGAACTCAAGTCAGGGAATGTCCACACTGTTTTCCCTGCCTCCTGCTCTCCTCACACTGCACTCAGCCAGTGTTTAAAGCGCAGGCAGGAGCATGGACCTCCTCTGCACAGAGTCCTTCAGTAACTTCCCAGCATCCTTAATAAATACACCAACTTCTCACTCGGACCTTGGAGGCCTTGCAGAACCTGGCTCCAGCTGGCTTTCCAGCCGTATCTTCTCCTTTCCTCTCCCACCAATAGCAGCTCCAGACGCCACGGCCCTGACCTCCCCGCTGGCCTGACTCTATTCCTCGGCTCACACTCCTCTTGCACACATCTCTAGTGCCCTCCTTGCACTACTGTTGCCCCTCAAGGCCTGGGATCAAAGGCAGCCTTCCCTAAGGTATGGGCTAGCCCAGGCCTCCACCTCCCTGAACGCCCCAGGGCTTGCCAAGCACTGAACCCTTTATGCTTGTGTTTTTGTCCCATGTGGCCCTGTCCAATATCTCCCACCAGAGCTGGGGCTCCTGGAGGGCCGGCTATACATCTGATTCATTTCTACCTCCCTGACCCCAGCATTCACCCAAGCCAGTCCACACTGCAGGCAGGGAAACCAGGTAGCAGGCTGCAAGATGACTCAGTGCGGGGAGACAGCGCCTCCCCAGGCTGGGAAATGGAAAGGAGAAAGGGAGAAGGGGATACCTGAAGCACTCTTTGATTAGTTGGCCTTGAGGGTTAGTAGGAGGAGAGGATGGAGAACGCTCCCAGCTCCTAGGCTTGGCTATTTGCTGGTGGGCATCAGGAGGAGTAGGGGCAGAGTTTGGCTTAGCTGTGCTTGTGACTGTGGTGACAGGACACGGGGCTGCTGAGCAGGCAGGTAGCTCAGCAGGGGGCCGAAGAGACCCGAGCCTGAGGTGGAGATTGGGGTCGTCAGTGTAGAGCTGGCATCGGACTCCAGGGCATGCATGAGATTGCCCGGGGAGGCCAAGGACAGTGAACCCTGAGGAGGCAAACATGGAAGAGGTGGCTGAGGAAGACTGAAAGAATGGCCGAGCTTGAGTAAGAGCGTGGTGTCCTGAAAACCAGGGAGAAGAATTTCAGTGAATGACTGGCGCAGAGTCAGGTGCTGTGAGAAAACTAAGACTGAAGTGCATCCATCCCAGCCCACTCAACTCACCGTCCTCCCTCCTCTCTCCTCAGCGCTTTCCTTCCTTCCTCCCTTCCTTCTTTCCTTCCTTCCTTCCTTCCTTCCTTCCTATGCATGAGATTGCCCGGGGAGGCCAAGGACAGTGAACCCTGAGGAGGCAAACATGGAAGAGGTGGCTGAGGAAGACTGAAAGAATGGCCGAGCTTGAGTAAGAGCGTGGTGTCCTGAAAACCAGGGAGAAGAATTTCAGTGAATGACTGGTGTAGAGTCAGGTGCTGTGAGAAAACTAAGACTGAAGTGCTTCCATCCCAGCCCACTCAACTCACCATCCTCCCTCCTCTCTCCTCAGCGCTTTCCTTCCTTCCTCCCTTACTTCCTTCCTTCCTTCCTTCCTTCTTTCCTTTCTCCCTTCCTTCTTTCCTCCCTTCCTTTCTTCCTACCTCCTTCCTTTCTTCCTACCTTCCTTCCTTTCTTCCTACCTTCCTTCCTACCCCCCCCTTTTTATTGAACATAATGGGATGACATTGGTTAATAAAATTATATAGGTTTCAGGGGTACAGTTCCATAACATCACCTTTATACTGTACTGTATGTTCATCAACCCAAGTCAAGTCTCCTTTCACTCTTCTACCTCCCCCCCACCCCCTTTCCCTCTGGCAATCACCACACTGTGGTCTGTCTGTGAGGTTTTGGTGTTTTCTCTTAATTATCTTGTCTGCTGAGCAGGCACAGCCCCGCTCCTCCTCTGGGGGTTTCGTGCAGCGAAAGCCAAACAGCTGGTGTTTCCCTTCCCAAGGCACCTTTCACCTGGAAGCAGCCCGCAGGCGGAGGCTCATGCCATGAGTTCCCAACACACCAGAGCCGACCCTTGCCCTTCATCTTTCTGGTCACCTGTGTTTCTATCGCCTCCTTTATCAATTAAAAACAAATGGGGGGGGCGGGGAGATAGAAACAGACATTTGGCTTTTGACCTGGATGTCAAAGAGGGTGGCAGGTACCTAAGGGGTGGAACTCCAGGGTGGGGATGAGAGCGGGGTGGGTATTAAATAATAGACATAATAGAAAAACACCAGGGGAGTGGCCTTATTTTATTCTCCAGGCCATGATGCAGCTTTAATGTCTGCTTTGCAACGCTTAAGGAAGTTCAGGTCTCAGACTCAGAGGGGGAGATGAAGGATGAGGAGGAGGAGACGCTGAGGGTGGGCGTGGCCTCCTCCACCTCGGCCATGGACCTCCCTCCTTGGCATCTGAAAACCCAGCTCCAGCTTTCCCTGTGCCCCCACCTCTTGCTTGGTCAGGCCCCAGAGGCCACGAGGCTCCGGGCTCTGTCTACCCTGCACCTAGGGGTCCCCTGGCCGAGCCTCAATAGACACAGTGACCCTCACAGAGCCGCAGCTCGACTTCAGTTCCCACCCCTGAGCGGCGTTGTGCGTCATTCCCGGGGAGCCTGAGCCCTCCCTGGGCGACAGCTGGACGTTCAGCCAGCGACACTGGGCATCGTCACACGCCAGCACCACGGTGCCTTCGGGGTTGCTGTAGGTGCACCGTTTCCGGGCTGCCCGGTCCTCCGCAACCAGATCCCAGCTGTCCCCGGGCTCCCTGTCCTCCAGCCCCGGGGCCTGGTAGCCCACGCGGTCTCGGGTGACCGGGCACACCAGCTGCTCCTCCTTCAGGGCGGGCACCACCTGGCCCTTCAGGTAGGCGGGGCCCGCGCAGTAGGTCTGGATGTTGAAGAGCCTGTCGCTGTACTGGCGCAGCCAGCTGGAGAGGTAGGCCAGGTGGCAGTCGCACTGCCAGGGGTTGCCGTGCAGGGCCAGGTTGAAGAGGTTGTAGTTGGTGTCGAAGATGCCCGGGGGCAGCGTGGCCAGCAGGTTCCTGGAGAGGCTGAGCAGCTCGAGCTTGGTCAGGTTCTGGAAGAGGTCTGTGTGCAGCGCCGTCAGGTTGTTGCTGCCCAGGTAGAGCTTGACCAGCTCGGTCAGGTCCCTGAAGACGCCGGCCGGGAGGTAGGCGATGGCGTTGTGAGAGAGCGTCAGCGAGCTGAGGTTGGACAGCCCGGCGAAGGCTCCCTCGGGGACGGTCTCCAGCTGGTTGTGGGACAGGGACAGGCCGGCCAGGCCCGGGCTGTGGGCGAAGAGGCCCGCGGGCAGCACCCGCAGCGCGTTCCCCTGCAGGTTCAGGAAGGTCAGGCTGCCCAGCGAGGAGAAGACGGAGGGCGGCAGGTGGCCCAGGGCGTTGCGCTGCAGCCACAGCTTCTCCAGGCGGAAGAGCTGCGAGAACACGGCGGGGGGCAGCTCCGAGATGGAGTTGCCGTCCAGGAAGAGCTCCCGCAGGCTGCCCAGGCCCGCGAACAGGCGCGGGGGCAGGAGGGAGAGTTTTTTTTCAGCTCGTCGGGCAGCTGGGCCAGCAGGTTCTGGGCCAGGTTGAGGGTCTCCAGGCGCGACAGCGGCTGGAAGAGCCTGGTGGGCAGCGTCTGCAGCCGGTTGCCCTGCAGCTGGAGGGACTGCAGGGCGTCCACGTGGCGGAAGAGGTCCCCGGGCAGCGCCTCCAGCCTGTTGAAGTTGAGGGTGAGCTTGCCCAGCGAGGCCAGGTGGGAGAAGATGTCAGCGCTGAGGCTGTGAAAGGCGCTGCCGGTGATCTCCAGGTCCCGGAGCCCGGGCAGCCCCCCGAAGGCATCGGGCTCCAGGCGGGAGAGCTGGGTGTTGAGGAAGACCACCTTGGTGA